ACACAATAGAATGAAGTGACTTTTGTAGATTGTTAAAAAAAACAAACAAAAACACACAAAATATGTCAGTTCCTCCGCTGAGGTTTCTCAAATTTTTATGACACCAGTGCATTACCTAATTTTGTATTTCGGAATAAAATGGGCATCTCATGGTAGGTATGACAATTGACACTACGCTGGAGACAGAAAAATATATCTTCTGTCATGGTCAGTAGCCTAAGACTAATTAATAGTTAATCTGCTGCTGTTTTCAGGGTAGTCCTAAGAAGGACTTTATGTAGCTGAAGGAGTCGGGATTCGATCTTCCTGGGTCTTCCTATTATAAAAATAAATTGTTATCTTAAGTTATTGACTGATTTGTTATAAAACCTACCCATTTGACAATTTTTATAATAACGGGATTCACAATAAAAAGAAAAATACCACTAACAACAAGAACCCAGTCACCAATACTCAGTAACCTCTACATGAAACATTTAGAAGAAATAGCCTTCGAAACTCCCGCTTATTTGGCTCAGGTATGTTGACAATACATTTGTAATATGGCCACTACAGAAAAGGTTAAAAAAATCATGAACCATATGATTAAAGACAACTCTTACAGTAGGTATAGTAAAATTAACGAGCTCCCATTTCTGGACGTGATGGTCATTAGGACACATAACTCATGTATACAGGAGTTTATAAGGCACTCTCAGGTCTGGATAAATACTCAGTTCGTATAAAGACAGGTGTCATACACTGTCTAGGCTACAGAACGCATGATATTTATGATACCGAGGATGTTATACATGAAGAGTAAACAACAAAATATAACAGTGGAATCCTTCTTGACAATGGATACCCTGAACATTTAATAAACAATAATGTAAAGTAGAAGAACGCTAAGAATAAGCAAAAAGAAAATTATTGTGAAAAAATACAAAAGATAGGCAAGAAACATAGAATCAAAACAGTATTCAGAGTCTCAAAACAATACAATTGCGATTAGTGAACATCACACCACATGAAGACCCAATGAAGGATTAAAACGTGGTTTACATAATCTCTTGTGAATATTGGCTGCAATACATTTGAGAAACAAAACAACAAAATATTCAGAATTCAGGACCACATATGAACCTATCAATGACTACCTCATTGCAATCTGCAGGAGACATTATCGAGAATGTCATCCTATGCAGTTTCTTCAAACCATCTACATAAGTGGCCAAGCTCTCCTTCAAGTTTTGAACTCGACCACACTCTGTTCTTCATAAGGTGAAATCGGCATCCCAATTCATTGACAGTTGTGTCAAGTATGGCACAAATTATACCCAGCAACAGACATTACACTGTATGTCCCTAACTCAATGACCCACCAACACGAGAAATAGAAAATAAAAGAAGATTTTACCTCACCGAAACACACGCAGCTCATCTAGCACAGAAGTCAGCAAAATATGGATGACCCCTCTTGAAATCATTCATATAGCTAGTTGATTCACTATCATCCGAACTAGCATATGGCAGTAGAAAAGGTTGTAGGATATAGTATCTATACGTGCTTTACATGATGTAGAGATCAATACATTTAATAATATTTATTTTGGTTCACACCATATTTTCACCATTGGTATATGCTCAAGTTTCTGAAGAAACCAACCAATAGCTACTGTAACGTTGGTCTGAATGGTACTCGTGTTTGATAGTCATTTTTGTTGAAATAATATTCCAAAAGTAGTGATTCAAATGAGCCACACTTGAAGCATGGGCTCCTTCCCTGGTGCCTTTGGAATCTTTGAGATTTTAACTCTGGCTGCATTGATGATATAGTCATTGAAACTGAATTGAAATTGGTAAGCTGGCATTCAGTGCTGTTGTCTACCTTGGGGCAGTTGTATAACTAGGAAGTTGCATCTGATGTGAGTCTGTAACTGTAATTGTCACTAATATTGGCTTCTTCCTCTTTTTCAAACCACATTATCAGGAAAATTGCTCTATGAGAGAGAGAAAAAAAGATTCTGGGTACTGTATGACACCACAAGTATTAACTAGACAGCCCATCTATGAACCTATCAATGACTACCTCATTGCAATCTGCAGGAGACATTATCGAGAATGTCATCATATGCAGTTTCTTCAAACCATCTACATAAGTGGCCAAGCTCTCCTTCAAGCTTTGAACTCGACCACATTCTGTTCTCCATAAGGTGAATCTGCATCCCAATTCATTGACAGTTGTATCAAGTATGGCACAAATTATACCCAGCAACAGACATTACACTGTATGTCCCTAACTCAATGCATCCCAATTCATTGACAGTTGTGTCAAGTATGGCACAAATTATACCCAGCAACAGACATTACACTGTATGTCCCTAACTCAATGCATCCCAATTCATTGACAGTTGTGTCAAGTATGGCACAAATTATACCCAGCAACAGACATTACACTGTATGTCCCTAACTCAATGCATCCCAATTCATTGACAGTTGTGTCAAGTATGGCACAAATTATACCCAGCAACATACATTACACTGTGTGTCCCTAACTCAATGCATTCCAATTCATTGACAGTTGTGTCAAGTATGGCACAAATTACACCCAGCAACAGACATTACACTGTACTAACTCAATGCATTCCAATCAAAAATTTGCTTGTAATGTCTAACGAAACAGTTCGAATCACTATTTGCCATTCCATCGGACACTGGTGAGTTTTATCTGTTTCATTTCACCTTCAAAAGTAAATAATGTTATAGACAGGTTCCAGCTACCAGCTTTTCTACAAACAAATATCTTAGTAATATTATGTATTCCTGAAAAGCCTTCATCTTCTAAAAGTTTGTAGATGTGTGCATCGTGATGCTCACACAGACCCACAGAGACGCACTTTTAATTATCATAGATTACGGTAACTGTTATGTGTCACGTGACGTACAAAAAGTGGATATAATTTTTAACGGAAATGAGTAAAACACCATAACCCGAGCGCTTTCGAAAGGTCCAAATTTCTAAAGAGCTTGGGTTATAGGGTTTTTATTCACTTCTATCAAGACTTCTTGAACCTACGTGCTTTTCTAACATCATGAATAATTTTCAACAGTCGTTCACATAATACAATAAAAACTGACTCGCTAAATCAAGAACAAATCAATGCAGACATATTGTTTTTAGAAAAGGGTACAACATATTCATTATACTGTCCTTAGTTCTTAATTTTTACTACTTCATGTTTTCTAATGTTGTATTCAAACTGGCTGACGGTTATCCGATTAGACTTTATGAAATGGCTGACGGTTATTCGATTAGACTCTATGAAATGGCTGACGGTTATCCGATTAGACTTTATGAAATGGCTGACGGTTATCCGATTAGACTTTATGAAATGGCTGACGGTTATTCGATTAGACTTTATGAAATGGCTGACGGTTATTCGATTAGACTCTATGAAATGGCTGACGGTTATCTGATTAGACTTTATGAAATGGCTGATGGTTATCTGATTAGACTCTATGAAATGGCTGACGGTTATTCGATTAGACTCTATGAAATGGGTGACGGTTATTCGATTAGACTTTATGAAATGGCTGACGGTTATCCAATTAGACTTTATGAAATGGCTGACGATTATCCGATTAGACTTTATGAAATGGCTGACGGTTATCTGATTAGACTTTATGAAATGGCTGACGGTTATCTGATTAGACTTTATGAAATGGCTGATGGTTATCTGATTAGACTCTATGAAATGGTTAATCGATTTCAAAGTTCAAAGATCGTCACACAGCTAACATATATTGTTACATGTATAAACTTATTTTTATTAACTGTGCTGTTTTATCAGCTAATTTAGTGTTCTTAACCAACGATGTTAAAGCAACACAATGTTGTATGCAGAATTTGAGTTTTAGGTTGATTGTGTTACGAACACTTTTTTGATAAAACGAAAATGGCAACTATCATTCACTTCATATTGTAAAGAAATAGCTTCTCTAAAGATATATATATAGACGTCTAAGGTATTTAGTTTAGTTTAACCGGGGCTTTTTGAATTTTAGATATCTTAACATACTTAGATATATCTAATCATTTAGGTATTAGGTACTTACCAAACCACGAGTTCAAGTTTTGAATACACATTGAAGTATTATCTATTCAAGAACAAAAAGCAACTCTTCTCGGTTTATAAAATATTGAGTTACACGCGTGACGCATGCCTAAAAAAAAAAAAAACACGCATGACGTACTTTGAAATTACTAGATATAGAAATGTATGCATACATAAATGCAAGTTGTTTAATTTTGAAAAAATTACTCATGAAATAGCGCAAGTCACAGAACTTGTAAACATTACATTTATAATTTAACGCCACTCAACAGCGTGATGACTAAAAGTTTCACATTTTAGATTTATTAAATTCGTGTAGCAATAGCCTACTAATATGTTAACCTTTACTTTGTTTGTGAACATTGTTTTTTTTTATTACACTTTGCGAAGAAACCGCATTTTTGATTTAGTTTTTTCTTTTTTACACTGTGGTAACACAATGGTCTATTCATAAAAAATAATATTGAAGAAACGGTGGACTGAGAAAGACGATAGTTTAATTCTTGTTGAGACATCTCAACATAAACTTGATACAGACTCTGATACGTGTTTGTATTTTGATTGGGTGAGTGTATGTGATATAGAGTATAATGTACTGTAAGAAATGAAACCACTTCAATTACTGCTTGAAACAACAACAACAAAAAGTTTTCCTTGTAATTAGCGCCACCTTTCGGGCAAATATTCAAGGAGAGTAGATTTTTAATGCATTTTTGCTCTCAATAACTGTTAAAAAAGAAGAAAACATAAGAGCATCTTTAGTGAGCTATTTGTAGAATGTTATACATCATAAGATCACGTGGGTTTTCATAAGAGGACTATACTAGTACATAGTTGAGAGTGCGGGGAATGGGGGGGGGGAGGCAGTCCTTACGATCAAAGGTCCTTCTGTTCAGTTCAGTGTAATCCGCGTTAGCAATAAGATGAAAACATGTTGACTGGTTTCAGTAGTGTTAGTATACTTTCTAGTCTAAGTAAATAAACTGGGAAAACGTTTTAATAGTATAAAATGACAATACCATAATATCTTTTTATGTGGTTTTGTCGAAGATCATTTTAACTCAAGATTATGATTCTGAGTGAGCATCGGTCTTCAACAAAGATAGAACATCATGTTAGACAGAGAAGTAGTCGTTTTTTGATGTTTTATTACGTCTATAAAGTACAATCAAGATGAGTACGTGTAAACTGTCGAAGTTGTATGTTATGACAGCTCTCTCTGGATTTTTCTTTGGAGCAGAGATTGTGGCCAGCCACTTTACAAGATCTCTGGTTTTGTTGGCAGACTCTTACCACATGTTGTACAATGTGTTCTCCCTACTTTTACTTATTATCAACTTTAAGATGACTAAGGAAAGAACGTTGGAAAATACGTTTGGTTGGGCACGTGTAGAGGTGCTGGGAGTCCTAGTGAATGTGTTATTTCTCGTTGCTCTGTGTTTCACCATTTGCGTAGAATCCATCCGAACAATTTTTCATACTTCTCATGCAAACATTGAACCTCAGTATCCATACGGCCTGTTAACATTTGGTGTATTTGGGTTATGTCTCAACTGTGTTTGTACAGTCTTGATTGGAGGCTATTCAAGGCACCAAGGTTGCTATCTAACCGTTCATGGGGACGATGTTGAAGTCAACTTGGTGTTGTGTACAGATGAACACACAAGTAAACCAGTCCATCTGGAATACATCGAACACACAAGTGAAACTCTACTATATGGCCAAACACGTGGATTAAATAGTACCAACGTTACACAATACTCACGTTATTTACGTCGAATGCTTGATTTTCTACGAGACTCATGCAGTTGTGTTTTAGTTACGATAGTTTCTTATTTTGTTCTTCACAAGGATGACCGAGGTTTGATCAAATATGCCGATCCCATCCTTGGCCTCATCACTGTTGCAATCCTGATCATTACAAGTTATCCACTCATGAAAGAAAGTGGACTGATTCCTCTTCAGAGTGTAATCCATCACATCGACGTCAAGATGCTAAAGAAACGCTTGATGTTGGAATTTCCGGCCATTCTAAACGTACACGACCTACACGTATGGCAACTGACCAGTGATCGTGCGATCGCCACACTTCATATAATATTGAATTCTTCCCATGACTACCCGAATATTACTTATCATATTGAGAATTTCTTTCGAAAGGAAGGTATTGCTTTCGTGACTGTACAGCCAGAATTTTTCAGGAGTAGAGGATTTCTCAGAAGTTCAGAATGTATTACCCAGTGTTCGGAGTCAAGAACATGCGGGGCTCTAATGTGCTGTGGGTCTTTACGTCAAACTTTCACAAAACAATTGGAGAATAGGTGTAGAGATAATTATGAACCCCTCCGTGTAAGTAATTTTGGTGTCGTTGATCAGGTTGTTTCTGGTATTGTACCACTTGTTCATGATAAGATCAATATTCAAAAAATGTGCAAGGAACTCGAACGACAACAGCAAAGTATGGTGCTTAAACCTAATTTTGATAGTGATAGTTTCTGTGCAGAGTCAGTAGCACATATTTTCAAAAATTTGAAAGAAAGCAAGGAAACTCGTGTGTGACATTTGGAAGGCAATATGAAAACCCACTTTTGAAATTTCAAGGTGTAAATAAATTTATATATATAACTTTAAGACACCAGAAAGAAAAAAACCGAATATTTTGTTACAAATAAGTATATAAGAACAAAGAAAGAAATTGGTGTACAAAGGAACAAGTAACAATTTGCTGTGTAAAACATGGAAGTGAATTAAAAATTTACCCTCGAAGCTTTGAAAAGAGTGATAAAAAGAGAACTGTGATATTTGGAAAAAAAGACAAACTTTTATTTGTGACATCTACTATGTGGTAAGAAATTTGATGTAAGACAAAAGTAGAAAAAAATCCGTAAACTAAGGTTAAACGAAAGAAAAGTAATCAATGTCGAGTGTCTGAAAAATACAAAACAATTTTAATTAAAGGCAGGAAATAAAAATACTACCTTTTCAGGACACTCAGAAGAAGTTTTCCAAAACTTCAGTTAGAGAGTAAACTAAAGCAACTAAGTAGCCCGTATGTGGATAAAATTAAATATTTTCTTTAACTTAATTTTTATGTAACCTACTGAGGTAAAATGAATTGCTGTCTAGAATATCATTGTGTAGTAATTATGTGTAGAAGTTAGAGTTAGATGAAAAGTCGTACGTTTGTATTGTTATACCGAGGTACTCTGCTATACTGTTAGCATTACTCTTTACATAGCTTTTGTGACACATTTTCTAGTTTTGTTTGATTACGCTTCTTGAAATTTACATCTATACAGTTGTTTCCAAAACAAATTTACTAATGTTCTTTTCGTCGATTCAAAACTAAATACCGTATCTGACTTCATAATTTCCTTAATAAGATACTTTGTAGAAATGTCGTGGATGGTGGATTAATACCATAATAACCTAATTACCAACAAATAATGAAAATGTCCAGATATTTAAAATTTAAAATAATTGATTAAGTTGTTTGTTTATTCTTGAGAAGTTATAGTTAGGTTAACCAAAAATTGTAGAAATAAAATATAACAAATGGAATCTTTGAACGTGGGTTTTACCAAAAAAAAAGATAATATTGTCAACAAGAATGTCTGTGAAATCAAATCTCGACAAATGTATAAAAGTTTGCGGGCCAACGCCCGGCAAAAGTCTGTAGTCTGAGTTCTAGAAATAACTGTGAGGTTAGTTTAATGAAGAGTCCACAGACGTCTTTGGTCTAGAATGAACGAAAAGTGAATTATTGGGAAAAGAATTAATCAAGTGTCAAAAAGTGTGATGAACAGCAGAAAAAATACAATAGAGTTTCTATAAATTTGAACTGTATATATGCAAAACATGTGAGGGGTGTTTCTATTCATTAGACAATAATAGAACATACTGGTATCTGGAATCATAGATAAATACTTAACATTTGATTTGAAAGTTTACACTGTATTGCTTAGCATGGTTCAAATTTGTCTGGTAATTAGTTTCATGATTTTAATATGACTTGTTATACGACCCATCACGTCTATGTAAGTTGTTCTGCAGTTTATGGTATGTTGTGGTAATGTCAATAGGATTTGTTAATATAAATGTTGGTAGACCAAGTCTTTTGAACTGGAATTTTGTAGCTATTTTATGAAGTTCAATTTTGTTATTTCGTTAAATTCTGTAAGAAAACGCTTAGGTTAGAGCTCTCAAAAATAATGATATTGTATTTGACAATTTTTGAAAGTTTTATGGAAAATAAAAATTCGTTATGAAAAAAAATAAAGATAACAATACTATTATTAGTTTACTACAATAAAGGTTGAAAAACAAGTATAAATGTATATAGTCATGCTAAAAGTATAGAGTTGAGCATGGCCGAATACCTAGTGTGTCGAAAGTGGCCCTAAAGTATGGTGAGCGATCTTTGTTTTTTTGTGAACAGTGGACCAGCAAATCCATACTAAATTCCTTAAAACTCTTCGAAATTACTAGTTTCAAAGGGTTATAATGGCATTTAATTTGTTTGTTGAGTACAAAGCTGCACAAAAGGCTATCTGTTTTGTGTACATTACAAGGATTGAATCCGGATGTTTAGCATTATAAGCCTTTAAACTTACCGCTGAAACACAGGGGGTCAATGACATTTAAAACACTTCTATTTACTATTTACTCGTTAATGATATAACGTTTAAGTCCCTTGGACTTTAGTAATTTCACAATTTCGATAATGAGGAACCCACTTTGAGACTAATAATGCTTGGAGACGGCTTGAATGGGTAATGTACAACGTTTCGACAAGGTACCTGATGATGACAAAACCATGTCGAAACGTTGTACATTA